GGTAAATTTTAACAAAAACCGAAATTGTATAAATTGCATATAAGCATACATTAAAAATTTGGAGACTCTAGCAATAAAGGTGTAGAAGATATAATTTAATAACTGGTTTTCGATGTTTTTTATCGATAAAAAAAGATCGGAATGAGTTATCGATTTTTAATGATAAGTTTGATATGCGCGCTGTAATTACGGACATTTTAAAAAAAATTGTAGCTCTTATATCTTCTGAAATCGACGCGTTCATACATACGGACAGACGGACAGGCGGACGGACGGACACACAGACGGACAGGGTCAAATCAACTCAGCTCGTCGCCCTGATCAAAAATATATATACTTTGTGGGGTCTGCCACGCCTCCTTCTGCCTGTTACATACATTTCAACAAATATATTATACCCTGATTTCCCATTGAAAATGGGTTCAGGGTATAAAAATATAAATAGTTTTGAATCAAACTGTTATTAAAGCTTGAATTGCGAAAAAAACATACTTCACCGACTACCCAGCGGCTATTTAGGCTCAGAATTCAGGTTGTCGAAAATATAACACAATATCAATATATCAATTTTTTATCGGGATGTTTTTTCCCAAATATCTAAAAATTTTTGTGATTTCTTGATATATTTGAGTTGGTCACTCTTGTGATAAGTGAACCAAGCACAAAATAAAATCAATTTGAATATGGTGAGAACGAATTATTCGGAACGAATTATTCGGACAAAGTTTCGCTCGATACTGTAGAAAATGCAGTTTTCCCCAATTTGCCACGCCCTACTGGCCGTAGAAATTTTAGGTCAGTTCTTAGAACGAGATAACGCTACCCTAGCTGCCAAATTTGAATGCTTACGCTAAAAAAATGTGAAAATTACAGGGTATTTTTCGATATGCCACGCCCCTAAAGAGGCGTAAAAACCATTTTTGGGTCATCGATAGAGGAGGTTACTAGTAACTTAACTATCTAAATTTGAAGCTTCTAGCTATTATACTTTAGGAGATATACTTTTGCGGTTTGACACGCCCCCTATGGGCGGACATATATCTACCATAACTCGTTGGACTTGGGTGGTCAACCCACGTATATATACCAAATTTCAGGTCTCTAGCATCAATAGTACCTAAAATATTGCAGAATTCGAAAAATCACTATAACCTCAGGTTCGATTTGCCACGCCCCTAATATTTTCACCCATCTTTATAGAATTGAACATCAGCTTATGTGCAAGATTTTAGCATTCTAGGTTTACATTAGGAGATACAGTTTTATCCGATTAGCCACGCCCCCAATGGGCGGATATATATCCGCCATAGTTTGGGATCTTGGGTGGTCGACGCGGACCTACATACCAAATTTCAGCTTTCTAGCTCTTCAATTAATATGATTTCGGGCATATCGGAAAATGCATTTTTCGATATTAATATGATTTCGGGCATATCGGAAAATGCATTTTTCGATTTGCCACGCCCCTAGAGGGCGGATCGAGAAAATTTGAACACTTTATAAATCGGAGATATACACGAGTATGTGTTCCAAATTTCAAGTCTCTAGCTTCAGTAGCGCCGAAATAGATTGCGTTCATTCGGACGGACGGACGGACAGCAAGGCGGACATGGCACAAAACCAATATAATAATTCACTTTCGTGAATTAGTATAATAATTCATTTTCGTGAATTAGTGGTATCACGTGATGCTTTTATAAAGTGCAACCAAAAAAATGTAAGTATTTACACATCATTTAAAGTGGCGCAATTTTTCTGTTTGTACGTATGTGTGTAGTTGGAAGGTCTGCGCTTTCTTGGAATATACACGATTGATTTTCATTTGGATTGTTTCGTAAATTATGATTCTAAATTTTTATTCGTTTGCCTAACCACCCCTGGTAGCTCAGTGCCTTCGGAGCGACTTGCGTCGGCAATAAAATTTTGTCAGCGACTCACGAAGTCGTATGACGGATACTCATATCACGGAACGCGTTTTTTTGAAATCTTTGAGAACCGAATACTGGAGTTAACCGGTCATCATAATTTTAATAAAAAATACGTATTCCTATAATCCTTGTTTTTTTTTTTTTTTTGGGTGGGATTATAAAATTATTGTGGGGAAAAAATTTAAGAAAAATAATTGAAAAATATTGATATATCGATTTGTTTTAAATATCAAATATCATTTTAAAATTTTTCAAAAATATAAATATCATTGATACGATATTTAAAAATTTTTTCGACAGCCCTACTCAGAACGCAACAAAAACACACGTATAAGAAAAGCTTTATCATGCGATAAAGCGCTTCAGAAATGCTTTCTAGCAACTCGCTTTACTTGTCGCTTTGGCTCTCTACTCGCTTCATTTGCACTCTGACATGTTTTAAGCGATTACATGTAAATCTGAATGTAGAGCTTTCTCGCATATTGTCGCTCAATATTATCGCAAACATTTGTAAAGTTTACATTTTATTCTGCTTTCATAAACACAAAATGGGTATACTTAAAAACTAGTGTTGTCGAATATATTCAAAATATCGTTTCGATGATATTTTAAGTTTTGAAAAATATCAATATGATATTTGATATGCAACTTTAAAAAAATCGATATATAAATATTTTTCGATTTTTTTTATACGCTGAACCCATTGCAAATAGGAAATCAGGGTATAATGGTTTTGTGAAAAGTATGTAATAGGCCAAAGGAGGCGTGGCCCCATGAAGAATATATATTCTTGATCAGGCCGACGAGCTGAGTCGATTTAGCCCTGTCCGTCTGTCTGTCCGTCTGTCCGTCCGTCCGTATGTATGWACGCGTCAATCTCAGAAGATATAAGAGCTAGAGACTTTAAATTTTTTTTCCTAGTTCTGTGTATATCAAGCTATTTTGTTATCGATAACTAGTTATTTAATTATATCTCCTATACCTTTAGAGCTACAGTCTCCAAACTTGAAATCTAGACTTATACATATGTATTTTATATAATTTCGGCTTTTGCTATATCTCCTATCACCCAAATATTTGTAAAAAGACGTATTTCAAGACTTGTGCTTTGGCACATGCACTCATTTCAATGTTATGTTCACTATCATCATGGAGATAGTCCATCGACAAAAAAAGTTGTTAAACAATTAAGTTCCCATAGTAAGCCCCCACTGCAGTCCATGCGTGTATGCCTATGTGTGTCTGTGTGTGTGTATCTTGTGTAAGCAGAAAGACGCGAATGATTATTGAAATATAAATTCTTAGAAGGTTTCAGTTGTTGTGTTTTCTTACTTGTTTACTTTTGCGGTTGGTTCACTTATCACAAGAGTGACCAACTCAAATATAACAACGAATCGCAAAAAAAAATCTATATTTTGCCAAGAGAAATATCCCGATATAAATATATTTTTTAAACAAAAAATATCGATATATTATTATTTCGATATATTTTCGACAGCCATATTAAAAGCCTCGATCATTCGGGGTTTGGGGGATCTTATAGTTGGGAAATCGAATCAAATTATTCTTACTAGTTAAATATAGCATATACGGCAAAAATTAAAGACTTTGAGGCTTACGAGATCGCTCCGTACATGCATATGTCGAAGCCCAAGTAGTATTAATATATTGGCGCGCACTGTAATTGTGCTTTCTACCTACTTGCCTATTTCCCTTTTTGCATGCCTCCGTACTTGTGCGTATGTGTGCTCGATTCCCTTGAACAAAGAATGCAGAATCGTTTGAGAAGTGGACGGCCACCGAAACTCGCTGCGCTAAGGGAAACTGTTTTTTTGTGCTTTGACATATATGTATATACACTTGGATGTTACGACCATTTTAACAAAGCCGTTATGCCCTGAATTCTCAAACAAATTAAGGCTGCGAAATCAGTGAAAACATAGGCTCATTTTCATTCAGTTTGGCTTCAGCGCATGAGTTAAGATTTGAGGTTAATGTTGCGGCTTTATTCTGGGATCACAAATGGTACACAAATGTTGCAAGAAAAAGCAGCAGTAAAAGCATTTATTTATTGGTAAGTTTATGTAAATCAATACAACACAAGTCAAACTACTAAATTTAAAGA